GTATGTAAATTGTATAGCACATCTGTACTGGTGTATTAACTGGTAAAACTGCAAGTATTGCACAAATATTCTTTGGCTGGACTGTGTTGGTTTTTGTTTAGCTACTGTGTTGACAACTACCAAATTTTCATTTGTACTTCTGGAGGTCTCAGGATCTCCAGTTTGGGAGAAAGACTTCACTCTTCAAAATATGTTTAACTATAAATACATCTAATGTGTAACAATTGTACTGGTTATATTGCAGTTATTTTTCAGAGAGACAGCAAGCCTATCTCAAGTATTTTGGGGAAGGGAGGATTGGGGAAAGTGGTGATTTTAAGAAGCTAAAGACACAGTACTCAAAAAAAAAAAAGTTGGTATGTAGTACTCTGCATGCAATATCTAGCACTGGTCAAACCTCAGTTATTACGTGTTAGTTCTAGACTTCAGCTCTTTGTTTTTCTTTTTTTCCTTTTTTGTGAGATGGACAGCCTTTTTTGGTTCCCCTCTTGGTTTACTTACATCACAATTGTGTAGACAACCTCTCTGTCTGTCTGAAAAAGACGTCTGCAGAAGGAAAGTCTGTGGCAATGAACTTCTTTATTGGACTGCAGCAAGTGTGTCATTAGGGAGCTGTTAGTGTAGAAGATGATTGCCCTGCAGGCATTCACAGGCTGCTTTGGAGTAGGGAGGTGTTTTTGGAGAAGGCTGAGACCAGTTAGTCAAGTACAGTGGCCTGTAAGTTGCTTATTGCTGCCTCCCCAAAGCTCTCAAACTCTTAGGTATCTCAAAAAATGGAATGGTATAAGACTTTGAAAAGAAAAAGTATATTAATTTAAAATAAGTTCCTGTAAATAAATGAGTTTGTTTTATTGCTGTGGCTAAAACTCTGTGGTTCTTGCCGTCTGTATGTGGGAAAACAGATGATGAACCACTTGCTAGAGCTTAGGAGGAATGCTACTGAAGAGACTGCCCCTGAGAGAAGGTCCTAGGCTGTCAGACAGGGATCCCGCTTTTGAGAGCTGGTTTTTCACCAGCCAGGCGTCCTGCTCAAGCCTTCTGCCTCCTATTCCATCCTCACCTGACCTCAGACCCATGGCTGTGTGTATGAATGTTTCTTTTGAAAACAGCTGCTGCATAAATTATTTGACAGAATTTTGGCATCAAGCATTTTATGCACCATCATTTTCTGAAGAAAGCTTTCTTTGTTGTCTTTCAACAATAGCTTTATTTGTTGGCTTCTGTGGCATAACTGGAAACATGGATGATACTGATTTAAAAATCCTAACTGCCTTGTAGTGACATGAATTGAAATCACAGCTCGTCATTTCAAGAGAATTCTTGAAGTTCTGGATGATTTTTTGATTGTGATGTGGAACCTGCTGGTATTTTGGTGGTTTGGTCCAGAGTCCAGATTACTGCGTATGCTGCGAAGGTCTCGAGGGCTGCAGTATTGTAGCAGTAGGAGCTCTGCAAAGTCACAACCCTGCTAATCCTGACTTGGAAGAGACACCTTCGGGAACTGAAATGCCAAAGTGATGAGCCTTTATGTCTAGTAGGTCACAAACTGGTTTCAGAATGCAGGAAGCAGCTTTTTTTTCAGTCCAAGTTGACTCTGTGTTTTTCCTCTATTTGCAATGCCATTTCACATGAGTGTTAAGATAAAAGTAAGTATAAGTAATTAATTGTTTCAAAGATAAAAAATTAGTAAAACTGATACGGTTGCATCCACTAAATATAAATCTATTGAAACACATAAGTAGCAGAAGTGAACTCCCACTCCAGTAATAATAGTGGAGATGCACAATATTTTGCCTGGCAGTGATTTTTGGTTTCTTTTGGCCAAATATTTTCCTTGTTTGTTTTGTTTTTAATGTTGGCTGGTGCCAGTAATTGGGAAAGATAGGGTGTTATTTTTCTATTCAGGGCTTACTTGGTTTCAATTTCTGCACAGTTTTAAGATCTGTGAACTTCTTGATTTTTATATACATATAATAGTTGCAATGCTTTTGTGTGAATATACTGTTTTGAAATTGCATAGTATTTTGAGTATGAAGCATATAGACACAGGCTGTTGGTTGCATTATATTTAAAATGGAAAGAATGGTCCATGAATTTAACTTGTAGGCTCTATCAGTTGAGTTTGATTTTTTTTTTTTCCCCCTTATAATATGGCACAAGGTCTTTATGATCTGAAATAGAAACAAGTTCAGCATAAATTTAAATTAATTGTCTCTAAATTTATTTTATTTTTTTAAAGAAATCATAGGTTTGTTTTTTTTACTCTAGTAAAAGATATCACAACAAACACTTCAACCAAAAATACTTAGGCTGTTACTTGTTTTGCATATTTTTTTTTTCTGTTGCTTGTGTGCTGTGATAATTTATCAGGCCTATGGGATCTGTGGGGCTGACAGGGACATTTCATTTTTATTGAGTTTTGCACAAGAAGATTCTTACTTTTAGTTGATAGCTTTGTTTTATTGCATGCAAACAATAAATGTTAGTTCTGTAAACTCATTAAATGTCTATCAGTTGTAATTTGATGACATAGAATTATCCTATAAAACTTTGTAGTCGAGTTTCTAATTTTTTTGAAGTTACCTTAAGGTTTTAAAATACGTTTTCAAATAGGTAGTTTAGGGTTGGTTGATAGAAGTTTAACAAAATGCTTGGGTAAAACCCAAAGCAAAAAGTTAGGATATATTTATAGAAGAATTTGCAATGATAAAATGTATAAGGGTATGAGAGTCATTTTAGAAAGTGACAGACACGGTCTGTCTTAGTAAGACCTCGGTAATTAATCAGGTGGCAACACAGATCTCGGCTGAAGCAATACCAGCCTGGCCATTCCCCTTCTTTCAGTGCTAGTGTAACTATGGGCACACAAAAATAGCCGTGCTACTTTCTGTTATTCCTTTTAGTACTGTTGAGTTATACTGTTACACTTATAACATGGTGGATGACAATCTTAATTTAGCTTTTGCATCGTTAATTAACTGAGTTTAACTCTAGGGCTTCAATCTGCCTTCAGTTTTGCAAGCAGTGAGCCTCTACTGTCAGAAAGGTGAACAGGGGGATTACTACCGCAGCTCGACATCCTGCTGACTGTTAGCAGATATTACAGCCAAACTTGCTTTGCTTTTTGCTACTCTCTTGAATTTTTCTGAGGAGTATATCAGGGAAAGGGAGGAGAAGAGGGGGCAGTCTCTTCTGTGAACTGGAAATGTACTGTTGAATTTTCTCAAAAGTCAGTGTTGTAAGGATGCAAAATGACTCCCCCGTCCCCAAAAGCTTTTTTGGTTTAAAAAAAAAAAAATAAATAAAAGGAGGGAGGAGTGAGGAAGTTTCAGAGAAGTGTATTCATATTTTTCAATAGTATTGAACAATATTTTAGAATAGTAGTCTTGCTGATACTGTGCAATACTTAAGAATATCTTATGTAATTAAAAATAATTACTGGAATGTAATTGTTTATACACTAGGCAAATGTAGCATTATACCTTTATATTTGTGCTACATTAATTATGTCATAATGAATATAATGTAAAGATACTGTTTTAATTTTTCAGGCTGATTTTTCATTAAACAAAATTGGCTCCATATCTGCATTATACCATCAGATCTCTCTTTCTGTAATCTTTAGTCTTAAAATTCATTTTTTTCTTTACCAGCCAACAACATTGATGCTTCTTAAATTTTGTTTTCATCCTTTATCTCTTTTTTCCAGACCTTCTTTTCAAACATATCTCTATAGATGAAAAAGAAAAGTGAAACTGTAGTGCACCTTAGGTTGCTGTGCAAATGTGTCCGATATTCACTGTATTTTTTATTGCCAAGGAGCAAGGAAAAAATTCTTTTGTAAATACATATAACAACACTTTATATCTATGTTTTTCTTCTTGAATGTGAAACCATTTATACAAAAGTTGGCTTTTGATAAATGAGTTACTCTAAATATTTTGTTTGTCTCCTTGTATCTGTTAGTATTTTTTTAAGCACTTCTGAAAATTGTATTCATCTGATGCAGTCATGGAGTTATAATACTGGAATCTCTGATTATTCCGAGTAGTATGTCACTTTCCTTTTTCTTAGTATAACTGTAATTCCAGTTAATATTATTTTGAAGGCAGTGCCACCTTTGGTAGTCTGCAGAGCAGAAGCAGGACTGATTCATGAAAGATAAAGGATTCGTTCCGTTAAAAGCATGCAAGAAGGTGTCTAGCTGCGTATTCGTTCTGAGTTAGAATGAATTGGAGGCAGGATGCTATCTACCAATAACATTGCAGGCATATTTTATTCAAGGCATAAAAACTTTCTTGTAACAGAACACAATAGTGAACCCTTCCATTACCTCATAGACATAACTCACAGACTTTCTGCTTAAAAAAAAAACCAAACCCAACCCCCCCAGAAAAAACCAAGAACCAAACCAAACCAAAAACTTCATTATTTTAAGCAGAGCAGATTTTCTTCCTTTTTTTACTGTGATGGTATACTTGCATTCCTCTTCATTTGTGAAAAATGACCTTTATTCCTTCACTGAGAGAAATGAATGTTTTTATGGACATGAAATACAGTTTTGATGCTTTAAAATTGTTAGTTTTTTATTTGTTTTCACGATGTTTCGAGTTTGACTAGAGTTGACAGATTAAATTGCAGCTTTGGAGTTGCTTGTACAAATTTTACTTTCTCATAAATAATGTTAAAGGCTTTTAATACTAGATGTCTGATATAAAAAGTTTTGAAAAGAATTTGTAGCACTTGAGAAACTTGTCTTTTTATCCTGACATTAGAGTTTTAATATTCTACAAAAACTAAAAAGGAGGTTACTACTTAGAGACCTGTAGATTCTGGTACTCGCAAATTTGGTTGCTTTTTATTTACATTATCTACTGAAAAGTGTATTTTGTACATGTAGAGCAATTGTTTACCTGCTTTGGGATTTGTACTATTTGCTGTGATGTACATGAACTCTATTGTGATTAATTTAAAAACAACTCTTTTCATTTTGTTTTTGACAGAAGAGGACAAAGAGTTTGTAGAAGACTTCAGTGGACAAGGGAATAAGAAAAACAAGGAAAATGCCGAAACCAGTAAGTGTCTGTTTTCTTACTCATCTAAAATCTACCAAGGTTTTAATGTTTTAGAGTGATTATTTATTACAAGTTGAGTTGTTTTGACTCCACCCTTTCTGGATTTCATAAGATCTGATAATGTACAGTTGGAGTTGAAATAGTTTTAGTACTAATATGTGGAAAAAAAGGTCAAGAAAGCTCCTTCCAGCAAGTTGCATGGAGCACATTTGGAGATGGGGGCAGCGCTTACAAACAACGATGAACTTAGAGCCCATTTGGCTGGCAGGAGGAATGACTTTTCAGGAATTGTTGACTTTGAGATGAGATGACAAACAGTGGTTAATGGAGGCATAATTTGGGCCTGACTCAATGACTGTGAGAAGCGGTGGAAGGATTTGCTGCAGGATTTGGCAGGGAAAGACAGAACACGTGTAAAGTGTCTGGGACAGCAATAGCACTAAGTTAGGTGGTAGTTTTACCGTGGTAGAGGGTATAACCTAGAAGGTAAGCGTAGAAGGGAGGAAATAAGCAATATTTGTGGCCTCCTATTGATCTCACTTCAGCTGAGATAAAGGTTCATCCACTTTCTATCCAGGGGGAAAAAAAATCTCGAACTTTTATTTCTATAGTAGTTCTAGAATTCTTTAAGGAGATGATTATTCAGCAGCTTGTTTCTTCTGCTGTTGGTGTAATATTGGTTGCTTAGGATTTCATTTGCTGTGTGTTAAATGACTTGGCTCTATCTTCCCCTTGTATCCAATGAGCAAAACGTTCAGAAAAGGAACCAAATTGTCAGGGGAGATTATTTCTATTCAACTCAATTGGTTTATGGAATATCCTTCAGGCTTTCTTTGTTTACTGATGTTTCATTGAGGTAGTAGATTAGGAGCAGGGCAGATCTGTTACTAAGAATAAATATGTCTGTGTGTGTGTGTGTGTACAGATATACATTCCTATCCACAGATGTATAAAAAGTTTTTGCTATTAATCAGAAATCACCAGTGTAAATAGTCTGTGTGGCACACCAGTATTTGTGATGGGTACAGCTTAATGAATAACGTGAGCCTGGGGCTGTCCAAAGGTGAGAAGTTCTGTTCTGAGCTTTGCTGTTGGTCTGCTGACTGATCAACTGGTCATACCATATTGTTTCTGTAATTTCTTCTTCCCCTCTCTGTGGACTGGGGGCAGTATCTTGGCACTTTCTGAAGTTGGAAGTAATTATTCGTATCCTACCCCCTTCTTACAGAAACCTGCACTATTAAGGGCAGGAAAATGAATTACCAGCATACTGTTTTCTGAGCTTTTTCTGTACTGGATATGATAATTGAGTAGTGCCTTTGATACAGTTTTTCAACTGGAAAACTGTATTTTAAGAATAAGGCAAAGTGTCACTGTGGGCCCATGTGGCTCCTGAGGCCCCCAGCTCCATGCAGCTACAGAGCAGTGAAGTCACAGAAGTGATGATTAGAAAAAAAATGACAGCCTGAGTGAGGTTGCTTCTTTTTAAATTGTGGGATTGGAACTGTGAAATTTAGGCAGGCACGGTTCCCTCTATTTTTAAGGAGCTGAGAAAATCGTAGGAGATACAGTTTTAGGGTTGTTCCCAAGAAAAACAGTTTCCTTAGAACTGAGATTGCAGAAGTGCTGGAAGAGCTCACAGTCCACCCTAAGAATGGAAATTAGCTACCAGAGTTTAGGAAAGAAGCTGGACTCATGCCAAAGATGAGATAATTTTTTTTTCCCTTTTATGAGGGACCTTGCTTAAAGAGTTCTCATATGTTGGAATGTTCTCATATGTCTCCTGACGATATAAGTGCATGTGAGATCTTAGAAGGAAGCCAAGTGAAAGGATCCATTAAGAAATGAAAATAATTTTATTATATTTCTCAAAAAGTGTCATGTGGATTTCTTCCCCTAAACTACAGGTTGCTGTAACTACAATTGATAATCAGTGAATGAAGGAGTAGCACACATGCTACTTGCTTCTTACATAGTAGATGGCTTTGGCTTTTTTGCCTTTTTTTTCTTTCTTTCTTTCTTTCTTTTTTTCTTTTCTTTGGAGACTAGAAGAGCCTGGTCATTGCTTATGTTTAATGAATCCAACATTGTTCGTTGAAGGGTCTTGCTGTTCTGCTGGGGTTTGATAGTACTGGGCTGTAGAAGGTCTCTTGCTCTTTATTCACTGTAGCTCTTACCACTTGTCTTTAAAGACAATTCACAATAACCAAATGTACTTCTAGTCCGGAAACTATTTGTGCTTCAACTCCTTGTTCTTTATTTTCGACAGCTGTTGCAATAAGATTGTCAGTGTCCTGTAGTTTTATTATTGGAGGTCTTTTAACCTGAAAACTAATGAAATAATCATGGATCAGATTTTACAGAACTAAGAAAACCCAGTTAACATAACTGGTGAGAATTTTGACAGTTTTATTTTACAGCTTTCTTCTCTGTATTACTATGACCTATTTAGGTGTATATATATATATAATTTTTTCCAGATTCTGCTGTAAGGTCCAAGTGATAGTTTTCGGCAATTCTAGTTGCCTTGTAAATATGCAAATATGTAAATATGTAAATGTGCAGTACAACTATAAGTAAATTCTGTCCACGTTTTTGGAATGATTTTTTTGTTGTTGTTGTTGTTATGTTATTTAACAAAATAGTTAAAGTTGGACTTGATGATCCTTATGGGTCCCTAACAACTTGAGATATTCTGTGATAACAAATAATTAAGCTATAGATGGGTTTAAATTAAATCAGTAACACTAAATCACAGAAAAATCAATGGAATAGATTTTATTTTCACTTTTTTGCTTTCATGTTGAAAAGTTCTGTAGTGTTCCAGACAAAATTATGTAAATGGAAATCAGTAACGGATCTTGGCGTAGTTGAATGTTAAAGCGAGTATGTTTCATTTTTCTGGGAAGTCTCAATCTGAAGTAAGGTTCATGCCACTGTGAATGATCTTATATGTGGTAGTAAAGTTCATTGTTTTTATGTGATTGGGGTTTTTTGTCTTAGAGGCTACTAGGTTAAATAGCTTGAGTGCAAAGGCTGTTTTAAAAGGGTAAAAGTGACTTTAATATATTGTCCTGAGATATTAAAGTAATAGGTGTCTGAAAAATATACATAAATGCAACATTTTGTTGTTTGATTGCTTCAGTAGGAAAGTCTGTCTGTTCACTTTGGCTGTACATGCAGCAAAGTGGCTTTCCATTCTCTTAAGTCATTCAGTCAGCATCTCCTTTTAAAACAAAATTGTTCTGAGACTTAATATTCTCAATTCTGCCTAGCAGTGCAGAATTAAGTTTAATTTAGTTTCTGTTGTGATCCCTCTAAAAAAAATTAGTGACTTTGTACAATTAGGTCTTTGCTACTGTAATCAAAATTGGAGGTGTTAATAGGGCTGTTTTTACTGTGCTTAATTCTCTGCTTACTGAATAATAGAATATTTGCTGAATCTTATTTTCAGTACTTTCTTCCTAAAAAACCAGATACAGAATATTTCTCAGCGGTATGCTATTCTCCCAGATCTTCACCAAAAATAGAAACATAGAAACTAAAATTAGACATCATTAGTTACGTAACTGTTAATCATTTCATAGCCTAAGAAGATTAGGTTTAATTGACTGAAATATTTGTTGCATTTAGAGCGTATAAGAGGAGTTAAAATTGTCAGCCGTTTTTGCTAGTAGTTTGCAGCTTTTTTGTACAAGACTGCGAGGCACAGAAGAGGAAGCATTACACTGGGTAGTAACAAGGGTAGATGTCAAAGTTACTAAGATTAAAAAGAATTCTTTTTTTAGACTTCAGCATTTTACAATGTTGTGTGTTCAGAAGGAGTAGGTATTAGATTGTGGAATAATATAGATATTTAAAATTTGAATTAATATTTACAAGATCAAGTTAATTTCTGTGAAGTGGTTGAATTGAAATAGCGTATAAATTAATTTTTGAGTAGAGTGTTGTTTTACAGGAAAGTCTTTGAGATGTGTAGTGCAGTATTTGAATTATATTTTGATTGTATGATTTATTTCTGTAGCACAAATAGGCAACCGATGGTCAGTTTGGAGGACTGCTTTCTTTTGATTTGTCTATTAGTAAAATCTATTTGCCATTATTCTGTAGCCTTCTGTTCCTAATGCTGTTTAATCCTTATTTTTTTATCTTATCTTCTTCATTAATTTTTCTCTTGCATCTCTTCCCCTGTCTGCTTTGAGGCTGATGTGGAAAGCACGCTGTATTTATACAGTGTGTAAAGCAGTGGGACCAATATCCTGCTACTCAGTAACAAAAACAATTTAATATGCAAACTTGATACCGTAATGGGCTGAACTAGTGTGAAGAAACTCTTGAAATAAACTTTTTTGCTCTGTGCAGTTTTCCTATAAATAAGAATTGGACTTGTGGCTTTTACATGTGATTAAACAAGGCAAAATGTCTGAAACCCTTTTTCATGTAATTTTAAATGGCTTTCTTACTAAATACGGGCACCTACTCAGTCTTGGGCTTCCTGATGAAAGCTCAAGTGCTATGACTAATTATGTGAATGGTGCCTGAAGTACAGTAATAGGAAGTATTAGACTAATAAGCTAACAATAGGTTTTTGTGCATATTCTATTGAGTATCTACATTTGAGGGGAGGTTCAGAGGTTAATATGGTGACTCTCTAACAGGCCATTAAATTGTAGAGGGTTGAAGTTAGATACTACAAGAAAGTGTAGAAATATTTTCTTCAGCTCCTTAAAGCAGTGAAAGAATACAACAAAAATATAATTCTCATATGAAATGCGTGCTTTTAATATGTGCCCGCGGATGTTTATTGTTCCAGGTATGTTTGTTGGCTGTATTCTTTATTGGTTTGGATAAATTATTTAATAGATAAATTACTTTAGATTGTTTTTTATAAATACTATTTTGTGAGCAGTGGCAAATGTCCTTATAACCCATTGGCAACATTTGTTATCAAAACATCAGTTGCTCCCTTCCCGAAGAATAATCAAGATGTATGTGTGTGTGTGTTCTTCCCTTTCCCTTGACTGCGTTTAATCATTCTGAAGCAAGTCTGGTAAAATACAGATGAACTCAGGCTGCTGGTTCTGATGCCAAGATGAAGAAGATAACTGTCATAATGCAAGGGTTTAAAGCATTATTATTTGGGAAAAGTTTATTACAAAAGTTATTACAAATAGATTTCAAAAATACATTTTTTTGTAGCAATTTTTTTTCCAAATGTTTGGTGATCCTTTTATGGTGAAAGTTTTCTGTCCCTGGCCACCTGTTTATGTTGTTCACTAATAGGCAAATGAGCCAAGCTAAATCACCTCTAAAAGCTGTGAGGTAGGTGTTGGTATTCTAAACAGAGATATTTGATGCTCTGAAATACAGCTTTGCAGTTACCATTTTCCTAAATGTCCAGCAGACTTTGCTGTGCTCTGCTAAACTTCACTGCATTCTTTATACCCTCTTACAGCAGCTTTGTTTATAAAATGTGCTCTTAAAAGTAGCCACCTGAAGGAAACAGAGCTATTCATTTTCTTCTTCTTATAACTTAAACAAAGCAAAACAAAAAAACCCCACAAACTTGTTAACCTGCCCCTTTATCTTTCCATTATGGCCCTTTAAATACAGCCTGTGCTTGTCTAGATGCTTGGTTTATGTATTTTAACATATAGTTGCATAAAGACGATATATTCAGGATTAAATTCTGCCAGAAAGAGGCAAACTCAGTGTTTACATTTTGCCTATGGGTTGTGGGGGGTTTTTTGTTGTTTGGTTTTTTTTTTTTAATGCTACCTTCTTCTCAGCACAAGAGTGCACTTGTCCTCGCTTTTTCTGGATGAACATCAACGTGGGAGCTGTTAAGCCTTTCTATATCCTTTGCATTAGAATTGTATATCGCTCCATGGGTGTTGGAAGCATCGAGAGTTTTTTGTTTGGTTGGGGTTTTATTTGTTTGGTTGGGGTTCTGTTTGGTTGTTTGTTGGGTTTTTTTTTTTCTTTCACTGTGTTGTGTATGTCCCAGTGGCCCAAGTCAGTGATTTCTGGTGCTGGATGTAAGAGGGCTGGTCTAGGGGTGCTGTATTGCCGGGTGTCAGTTCTGTCTGTCATCACGGAGCTGCAGTTCCTGTTTGACATTGCTTGATCTGTGAGGAGGAGGGGATCTCACACCACGTGGACCTTGCTAGAGGATTCACAAAATCCAAGTTACCCAGTCCCTAAGCCTACTGTAGCATTCTAATGTATTTCCCAGACATGACCACCGTGATGTTTTGGTATTTGATATTTGCATAGAACTCTTTAGGTCAGTAATAAGTGACATAAGTTGTGGCACCAAAAATAATGTTTACATATAGCTACGTTTTAAATCTTAAATAAAAAATAAAAATTTGCTCAGGCATACTCCTGTGAGTTGCAGAACCACCTAGAGAGTTTCTTGATTAGTTTACCAGAGTTAGAATCCTTATAAGGCATCTACTCAGAGTTCAGTCAAAATTACACGTGTATATACCAAATGAGACTTGTTGCAGCTCTTACCCTGAGCCTGTGCACAGCAGAATGGGATTTGCCTCACAGCTGAGCAGCAGAAGTAATCAGCTAAGTCTTGTCTCGTGCTTTGTCACAGTGTCTGAAGTTTGAAGGAGGATGTGTAATCCTGGTGAGAGCGAGATTGAAAAGCAGGGGTAAAATGAGTCTTGTGGTGTGGACAGCGGTAGCCTTCCAGCGCTTGCTACAGGAAACCTTCGTATGTTTCTCTGTCCCCATTGCAAGAGCTCCTTCCTGTTGTTGTATTCAAGTGGTAAAGTTGGTTTAGAGTAATTATGTTCAGATTAGTGTCAGTCTTCATAATTTGTGGTTCAGATAATTTCCCCGTCACTAGTGTCACATTTAGGAGTGTTGCTTAAAGTAGCTGGATACCCAACAGCAGATGACATGAGTGACAGTCCAGTGCTGAAGTTCCTGGGCCTTCTTTCTCTGCCCATGTTTCCCCAATTCTCTGCCTTATTTATAATGTGGAAACTTCACCCATGACTCTTCTTAATGTACCTGGTTAGCTCTGTTTTCAGACAATGCAACTGACACCAAAGGTTTGGTTTTGTTGAGAGTGTGCTGTGTGACCAAGGTTTGGATTAGATAAGTAAACCTCAGTCTCAGGTTTTGCCAGAAGCGACTTTCTTATTTTCCATGCCCAGAAATAGCTGAAGCTGTGAAAAGATTGTAAAAACCTCAGTATTTGTATGTGAAATATCTAAGTCAGTCCAAATACCTACAGAAGGAAAAATGATCAAGTGTACTGCTACCTTTGTAGGTCTCTTCTTAAATAACTCGTATAATAAAAGATAACGTTTTCATATTGCTGTCATTTAATTTGCTACTTTCTTAGTAGAACTGAAGGTGTAAATTTTAATTAGCAGTTGGGTGATCTGTTAATCAGAAGTTCAAAGAAAAAGAAAATTGCTTAAGACCTGTAATCCATCTCAGTGACTAGATACTCCTAATGGGTATTTTTATCTATTGCAGATGTAGCAGCTGTGTACTCTTACAGCAAGGTGCTTTTATTTGAGGCAGTAACGTCCAGAAGCAAACACAATCTACAGACTGTGTTCAGTTTGCCTCTGTATTACATCTATTATTTTACTGTTTGAGTATTTTAGCTCTTGTGAGGCATATGGACTTTCAGGTGGTAATTCTTGCATTTGTAGAAGGTGACATTTATTATAAGGGTATTTATATACTAAGTTTCTGCTGCAACTTCAAAAAGTCTGTTGCAATTAATTGCTGTGCTTTGTAGATCTTCTGTGAGGCTTCTTGTTTTGGCAGTGCTGCTCTTATGTAACAGAGTGCTTTGGCATTTAAAAAAGTTACATTTTAGCCTTATCCCTTGTAACTTGCTTACTTGTATCTGCCCGAAAATAGCCTTCATTTTTAAAATTGAAAAACTGCTTTAAAAAAAATTAACTTATTGTAATCAAGGCGCAACACCCCCCCCAGGCCCCCCCCCCACACACACACTTAAACTAGTGCAATTGGCAGTGTTAGACCTACCATTTAAAAGGAATTGTTCTGTTCGAGAATAAGCAAGTTTTTTTTTCCCCTCGAAATGGGTAGGGCGAGAGAATGTACAGAAAACACCTCTTTTCCCTCCTCCTGACACTCACCCTCTAATTTTTTTTGCAATAAAAGTTTACTATCTTTTACTCCAAAGCTTTCAACTCTTGTTCTTTATCACTGTTTGCACACACACACAAAAATGCTAACCCTCTGCTATCTTCCTTGTTTGCAGGTCCATAACCTAGAGGTCCTCAGACTCCCGCTATTCTTGTCTTGTGTATCCAGCTCATGCCCAACGTTGTTTACATTGACACTGAGAAAGGAGAGAACAAGCTTAATCTGTTGCACAGGAGCAAACTTCTATCCAGTTTTCTTTTTCGTACCTCAGATCTGCCTTCTGTGTTCTCTCTTACTGAGTCTTTTCCAGACTCTTACTTCTCAAAGTATTCCACCTGGTGGCAAAATTAGGGAAACAGTTATTAATGGAAACAGTTTACATAGGCATAGATCAGGTAGTGCAAGAACCTGTAAAACAAGCCCTAATTTATTCCTGTTCCATACTTCATAGTAGAGAGAGAGAAATTAGAATATATCTGTGTGCTTTAAATAAGTTTCATGTTTCTGGTTTTTGCATTTATAGCAAAGTAGATTTGTCCTTTAACACTTTATGATAAATAAAATATGACAGCATGGTAGTAGGAATGGGAGATCATTCTAGCAGCTAGCAGACAGTATCATGCATTTAGTACTTTGCTCTGTTTCATGAAAATTCTCACTTCTGTGTGTACCAGTTGAAGAGAAATTGGAACAGACTGTTGTACTTCCAAGTAAGGTAGGCTTCCAGATATCTCCTGAAATATTTGTCTGCTTGTTTTAGAACAAATTTAAACAGTGACTGTCAGGAGTCATCTGGAAAATGGTCCTCTGTTTCAGGAGAGGTAGTTCATTGAATAGCAGTGTTTTTTCAGTCTTGTCATAAGGGAATTGAATGCGATTAGTATTAAGGGCAGCTGACTTCTATAGTTCCTCCGTCTATTGATGAAAGTCTGCTATTAGTCTGTCCTGAGGTGTACAAGTTCTAGTCTCATATACTTTATTTTGCTGAACCTCTTAATTTTAAAAATGTCAGGGCAGGAAGCTACTTGTCTTTTTATATTGCCAAATACAAATACCTTAAAATGATATATATATATATATATGACTAGGGAACTTTATTTTGCGCACATTTGGGAAGCCCAATGAAAGGTAGTGCTCAGTAGCTGAATGTCCCAGTGTTCTCTGAGTGTTCAATAACCACATCAGCTATCCCATTAAATTGATTTTGAACTTTGTTCTCTGGTTGTACCTCTAAACCTAGTGTTAAATATTATCCCGAATATGCTTTTATACTAAATGAAAGAGGAGACTTTCTACAGATTGAATTTTTTAATTTTTATATCTGCTGTGTTCTGTGTGTATACAAGACCATTAAAATTGTTGATTTTACTCCCCATAGATTGTTTCTTACAGGCTAATCACAGCATATAGAAGCATTCATAGAATCACAGAATGGTTTGGGTTGGAAGGGACCTTAAAGATCATCCAGTTCCAACCCCCCTGCCATCAGCAGGGGCACCTTCCACTAGACCAGGTTGCTCAAAGCCTCATCCAACCTGACCTTGAACACTTCCAGGGAGGGGGCATCCACAGCTTTTCTGGGCAACCTGTTCCAGTGTCTGACCACCCTCACAGTGAAGAACTTCCTCCTAATATCTAATCTAAACCTCCCCTCTTTCAGTTTAAACCCATTTCCCCTTGTTCTGTCATTAACTGCCCTTATGAAAAGTCCCTCCCCAGCTTTCTTGTAGGCCCTTTCAGGTATTGGAAGGCTGCTATGAGATCTCCCCGGAGCCTTCTCTTTTCCAGGCTGAACAGCATTACACTGTTACAGTTTGATTTATATATTTCTTTATTTCCTACAGATCAATGTCAGAGTAACCACAATGGATGCAGAGTTGGAATTTGCCATCCAGCCCAATACAACAGGCAAGCAGCTCTTTGATCAGGTAACGTATATGTGTCTCTGTGTATGTACGTGTACAAACGTGAAAAACTATTGTGGGTATTAAGGAATAGTTTGAGAAAGTAGAAGTTTTCTCATATATATGAGAACATATGTATATGTTTTTGCTTACATTTATCTAAGCTAGACTCTGTTAGGTGGAACTTCCTCATTTCTTCTCATGGAATGCATTAATTTCAAAGACAAGGCTGTATAAATAGGTTAAAAGTGATGCTTCAGCTGAATCATCTGTATAGAACTACTTTGAAATTAATGTGATTTTTTTTCTGTCTAATCGTATCATAGTTGCAACTGTAATATAATTGTTAGAATTATGTATATGAGAAATTTATATAGCCTTCACTATTTCTTAATGAATGTAAAAATAACAGTTCATTAAGGAAGCGAATGGGGTTTTTTTGTTTTTTGGTTTTTTTTCCACAGATAGATGTTGTGGGTACGTTTTCATTTCCTGAATGTTAGAAAAGTAATGTTGTTCTATGATCTAGTTTGAAATTTAAGTTTAAAAAAAAAAAAGACTAAGTGGAAGAGTGAAAATGATGGCTTCAATCTGCTTATTGGATTGCAGACCCATCAGAACTACACATTCTCACTGGATAGTGTATCTGTTGTACACAAGTCAAATGGGCTAAATGAATTCACTTCATGTGATGTTAGCCATCAGAATCTTGAAAAATTTTTTTTATCTGGGTTGTGGAGTGTTCTAGAAAATGTTAAGAATAGAACCTTGTCAATGTGTGGTTTCATTTTTCCTCGAGAAACCAATAAATACATTGTATTATCTAAAACCAAGATGTATGCAATAGTTAAAAATGCAGAAATATTAGAAATTACTCTTCAAAACAGTTTAACTATATCAACAATTATATCTAGTAGAACTGTTGTTTCTGCCCACTTTCTTATAGGTGCTTAGTGTATGTAATGATGGGTATTAAGAGAAAGTAACACACTGAAAGAGTTCTTTAAGAACTCTTAAACTTTTATTTGACCTTTAAGAGTCAATTGAATTTCTTGGTATGTAAGTTGAAGGGACGAGAATGTTTATTGTTTTGTAACACTGAGCTTTTTCTTTTAGAGGAAAGAAATTTCATTTGCAATTTTTGTTTGAAATGACTGTCTGACTCGTAACACTTCAACCCTTGCCCCTTTCTCTAACATGAGGAGTGGTAGATCTTCAGCCTCTACGTAGGAATAGACTCCATGACTCTTACAGAGAGTTATTGAAGAAAGGGACTGTCCTGCTTTTTGTCTAACCAACACCACCATCAAATAAAAAAGTATGGTATTCTCTGGCACAGCAGCCTTGAGCTGTTACTTGTCTTTTGCCAACCTTTGCTATCTTCTGCCCTGCAGTATTGGGTGGGGTGACATTCTGCTGTGTAACGTCTTATGCCCAGGTAATCAGGTTCATCCAAATTGGGGCATTCACAAACAGGGAACAAAGATACAGCTCTGAATTCTTTTTCATGCTCTCTTCAATTTTGTTCCTCAGTTCACTGTGTGGCTTTTGACATCTCACCAGCTCTTACAATTAACTTCTGGAAGTTTAAATTGAAAAATTGTTAAGTCAAGCAAAATCAACCAGCATAGTTGCATGCAAGGAAAGAAGCATTTTCAGCCTGATCTTAAATTCATATGTGAGTTCCACAGAGTAACATCAAGAGATGAACTGTGTTGCAAAACCAGCACAAAATTTTCAGAAATAAATCTGCTGCATGTTTCTCTGTAGAAAGAGAACTGAATAGCACTTTTATTGAGAGGGTTAGTCTTCAAGGTTTATGCAGAAATGTGGACATGACAGTAGACTTCTTGGCTATTGCTTGCAGAAACTTACCTCTCTGTGAATTTAACTGTTGTGTAGTGCTCCTCTGCGTTTTTGGTGAACAACTTGTCCTTATTTTCAGTCAGTGGTTCTTTTAAAGCTTTTAGTTGGTGTTTCTGGAGCTAGTGGTTTGTTTCCCATTTCATGTGTGTGTTTTCATCGTCATCTGCTAGGAGGCAAGAGCTCAGCATTTGAGGTCTGTGGCTTTCTCTTTTCTCTTCCATTGTGAAACTCAGTAAAGTATTTCACAACTCTTCCCCCCCACCTTTTTTAAATTACTTGTATTTCAAGAGATGTCTTTAAACTATTGATCCTTAGTCCTTGTGTCCATCCTGTCAGTGGTCAGAGTGGTCAAGAGGGTATCTGTCCTCATTCAGTCAGCCAGTTTAGCACATATAACTTTCCTAGGAAGGGAAGAAACCTACGACGGCTACGTTGCCACACTCCGGTGGCAATGGTGGGGGTTGTTCTATTTTGTAGTTTTCAATAAGGTGTTAGCACTGAGCATCAGTACCTCTGGTTTACCGTAGTTGCCATTCAGGAAGAATGAGTGAGTTGTCTCCTTTTTTTCGAAGTTATACCCCACTGTCCTTTCCAGATGTCACAGAAGCCTCCGTTATGATCTTTCTGAAGCTGACTCAATTAAATTCTTGCTAGGTTGTCTTTATGTGTATGTTTCAATTTGCCAAAATATGTCTATTGCTCCGATTGCTTTTCTTCTTCCGGAAGTTTTTATTGCCTATTAATAGTCAAGCTGTAGGATGTGTTGGTGGATAAATCTGTTCTACAGAAGACTTGCCTGAAACCACTTAATGAATCTTTTGAGCCAGAATTAGATTCTTCAGTTTCTTATTCTGTACTTATTTTTCATATCATGCTACTGCACTGAGTAAGTGCTTATATTATCTTAGTACAAAATTGCAGGAATTTTTTTACTCTTTCCTTTGAGCTGAGAGGCAGTGATAGACAATGCTCTCTCCTTATTTGTGGAGTCTGAAGTAAAGCAGGCTAACGTGGAAGCTGGTTTTTAGTGTTGATGTGCAAACATGTAACTCTGCATTGCAGTGGACAAGTTGTCTGTATTGAAATAATGCACATGTCGGTCCAAGGACCGTAGTTAGCAGGTGAGAGTAAAATGTTTTGACATGAGCATGAGCATTTACATCCTTATGCCTTATGGGCAGAACTGCTGAGCATCTGCAGTTCTTACTGACTTGTGCAGCTCAGCGAGCTGATCAGGTACAAAGGCTCGACTTGGACAGCTGCAAAGAAAAGAGCATTCTTGGAGTCACCTGATAAAGGCATAAGTAGTTTGGTCAGCATCATGTAGGAGATCTGTGCCAAAAGAAGTGCAGGTCTGAAATTTCTGTGTTGGGACACCAAATTTAATGTTACTTAGGACCGTACTAGTAACATAAACTTGTTCTTAACATTTCTTATGTTCTAACGTAAATTATGTAGGAATTCTGGAGAAAATAACTGTTCACTCAAGGAGTCAGATTGGATCCATGAACATTGTCCATTCTGTACTTAGGAGCTTGAAGTTGAAAGGGTAGAGGAGGACAAAAGGTGCACTTGAACGAGTGTTAAGTACTAATACAAATATGAAAGGCATCAGAACTAAGTTTGCACAGCTACCTTTGTGACGTTTTCTAATTTTCAAAATCTTAATTTTGCAACCCAATAGTACTACTTTAAAGTGGAGGAGGATCTATGTGTAAAATTCTATTTACTTCACATGCATCTGAATGCTTCCATAAAACAGCCTTCAGTAAAGCAGCTTGCCGGCATGGTCCAACCTGAGAACATACGTAAGTACCGCCATACGAGATCTTTTGGAGGCAGAGTTTACACCTATTTAATAATCTTTGCTGGACTTTTCTGATTACCTGCTTATTGAATCCACATGTACTTTTACTATGCAAAAGACATATAAGATAGTTCTACAGTATTCTGTGTAGTAAAAGTGCTTCTTTTTGTTTGCTTTGAACCTGCTATCTAGTGATTTTTGTTGATTCTCTTAATTCTTACATCATGAGAAATAATGAATAATCATTCCCTCTTTTCCTTCTACATGCCATGCAAGTTTTATAGACCTGTGTCATATTTTTTCCTTTCCTTTTTTCTGTCAGTAGCCTTAGTTCTTGTTTTAGCTATGCAGAAAATATTCAATATCGCTGGTAATTCTTTTGAACACTTCTGAAACATTTCCAGTGCTGCAGCATCTGTTTTTTTTAAGTTGCTATGACCAGTCCGTATGTAGTGTTAGAGATTTGGGAATACCATAGACATGTATTGTATTATAACAGCTTTGTTGCTTTTTTCCTTTACAATGAGAACTTTGTTTGCATAATTAAAATTTTTATCTTCTATGTACAGTATTTTGTTTTTGTTAAATATCATCCTTTATTGATGTTCATCTTCCCTTTTACTGTTCATTCACAGATCTTTGTGGAAGGTTTTTCTACAGCAGATTTTGTCAGATCAGTTTTGTCCCTTTTTGCAGATCACCTACGAAGTCCTGGGGGACTTCCATAGTTGTTACACTACAAGTCTGTTGTGAAAACATTTTGTTTATTTTTGTTCTTTATTTTTAACTAGTTTATCCATAAAAAGGCCTTCCTTCTATTCAAGGACAATTTTGTTTCTTTAGTAGCCTTTGGTGATAGAACTGATCAGAAATCTTACAGAAAATCCATGTATGGTTTATCAGCTAGATCATCCTTATCCCTTTTATCATTAACTCTGAGAAGATCTCAAAAATATTTGAAGAAGGTGATTCATCCTCATTACATCATACTTGTCCACAAGTATTATTCTTTGTTATGGTTTCACCAGTTGTCTTCTGTTGAAGTGGACTTAATGTCTGTAGGTCTTAATGGACCTACTAGTGAAGTGGACTTAGTAGTTTGTAGGTCTGCAGATCACTTCCCAGACCTGCTTTCAAAGATCACAGTCTTGTCTGCTGTCTTGTATTCCTCAGGTGCTCAGTTTGATGTAGGCAGTAAGCTGCACTCTCCAGGTGGTAGTTTGGTGACATGGTGTTGGAGTTTATTTAGAACTCTGAGGTGAATGCTTCCCTGAACATGATATTTTGTTACTATTTTTTTTTTTCTTGTAAAACTTGATTACTTTTCAGTTTGAGATGGTTTCTGTAGCTTAATTGCCATTAAAAAATTCTGGTTGCAGTGATTACTGATGATTATGGATCATTTATCTTTAGGTGGTGAAAACTGTTGGTCTTCGTGAAGTCTGGTTCTTTGGGCTACAGTATGTGGACAGCAAAGGCTACTCAACTTGGCTGAAGTTAAATAAAAAGGTAACAATTCCCTAACATTTAGGCAAGTGTACAGTTTGAAATATACTTTAATAAGGCTTGCTGCTTTGATGTTGTAGGTGAGATACAGCTGGCTGCAAATTTAGTTGAAAAGTTGCTTTTCATTTGCTTTAAATGACAAAATACAGTGTTAAGTTTGGTTAGTTGTAAAAGAATATGCAAAGCTGCATCAACATTTAATTTGAGAAGGAGATACGGTTTCCTGTATTTCCAGTACTGTGGTGATGCATGCATTAGGAAAACTTAAATTCATATGATTGTCTTGTTTCACGTAGCAAAAATATAATAGAATAAATGTTTTACAATTCTGAGGGTTATCTGTGTGAAGTATTGGAGCTTCAGGGATTTGCATGTATACAACTGGAGATCTTTAAACAAGACACCTCTAACAGGCTCCTGTTTAGGTATCAAATAGGTAGATTGTAGGATAATTTTAGTTTTGTTTTCCTCAACAGCACTGAGCACCTTGTATCTCCCAGCTGTTGGGAACCAGATCATTTTACTTGAAATTCTATTTATGAATTTGAATGGTTACTTTTTATTTTAATATTGACTGTCAGGTTATTAATGGCACTGTTTAGAATAAAGATTTTTTTTTATTATTTTTTTTTAGTTCAACTTAAGAATACCTTTTTTATCTTCAGTATTAGGAGGTAAACTGGGAGCTTTTTAGGAGCAAGTCCCACTCTGCATTTATATAATCTTCCCTTTTCCTCTGTGGTAAATCCAGTGAGTTAAACCTGCTAACCACCAAAGCTGTCTCCTAGAATTTCATATCTATGTCTTGTTTCATAGGCAATAAATGTAGTGCTAGTAATATTTTGTTAACCCTAATGGCTTGCCTCCAGTGCTAGGTGACTACAGATTTGGTGCATCATTTGTGAAAAATACATGAAACATTGCTCTGTGAAAGTCTTTGGCAAGTTAAGTTGCTGGTGCAGTTCAGGAGCAGCAAGCATGTGCTAATTTCTTTCATATTGACTAAGACAGTTATCTGTATCTGTATCTGTATTTTTTTTAAAGAAAGCTTGTAATGTTTGACTCTCAAATGCATTAGCATAAACTAGCTTTAACTTGTAAGTTACTATTTAAATATTTGCATTAAATACAGATAAGATTTCATAAATCAGAATAGAGGTGCAAATAAGGTTTTGTTATGGCAAGAGTACAACTAATTGTTCACTGGTGAGAATATAGTGAAGTATTGTGTATGTAAATCAGAAAGTAGATGGACAGTAATGAAACGTGAGGAAAAACGTTTAAAATTGACCTCTGAAATGTTGAATATAGTACTTATACTGCCTTGCATATATGATTAAATGATTGCATTACATTTACAGTTTTTGATACTTGCTGAAAGTCAAGCAAGCAGATGAATCATTTCATGTGTAGTGAAGAAGTTCTAGAGGGACTACTAGTTCACATAAAAATAAATGTGTAATAAAGTGCTTGAGGTATTGGAATGTCTGAGATTTATTTTAATATGAATGTGCCTTTTAACAATTATTTGATGTTAAAATTAGTTTAATTTTGAATGTTTTTGCTTTAGTCCTAATCAGTGCTGAAAGCTGAGCCCAAAAGAAGTTCTACATAAAAATGGGTTTTTGTTGAAATTCAAAGTAGACACTCCCTTAAAACTTGAGATAACCACATCTGATCTCTTCACAGAAATCACAATCATAGGTTTACTCATTCTAGAAAAATAATCTGATTCCTGGAATTCATGTTTTTTGCACAGAAACAAAGCACATGTTTAGTTCAATAGTTCAAAGACTTTTAAAAGAAGCTTAACTTTACACTTATATTGAAGAAAAAGCGCTGTAGTTTTTGCTGAAGAAACCTTGTTTAGCCCTAATTTGTTACTTCCTGCAGTTCATAGAATCATAGAATGGTTTGGATTGGAAGGGACCTTAAAGATCATCTAGTTCCAACCCCCCTGCCATCAGCAGGGACACCTTCCACTAGACCAGGTTGCTCAAAGCCTCATCCAACCTGGCCTTGAACACTTCCAGGGAGGGGGCATCCACAGCTTCTCTGGGCAACCTGTTCCAGTGTCTGACCACCTTCACAGTGAAGATGTTCCTCCTAATATCTAATCTAAACCTCGACTCTTTCAGTTTAAACCCATTTCCCCTTGTTTTGTCATTAGTTGCCCTTATGAAAAGTCCCTCCCCAGCTTTCTTGTAGGCCCCCTTCAGGTACTGGAAGGCCGCTATAAGATCTCCCCGGAGCCTTCTCTTCTCTAGGCTGAACAGTCCCAACTCTCTCAGCCTGTCTTCATAGGAGAGATGCTCCAGCCCTCGGATCATCCTGGTGGCCCTTCTCTGGACTTGTTCTAACTGGTCCATGTCTCTCTTGTGTTGGGGGCTCCAGAACTGGATGCAGTACTCCAGAGAGCGGAGTAGAGCGGGAGAATCACCTCCCTCGACCTGATGGCCACACTTCTCTTGATGCAGCCCAGGATACAGTTATTGGCCCTCTGGGCTGCAAGTGAATCCTTAGATATATTTTTTTTATTTGTTAAATATATATCACAGCTGCTTTTTTTCCAGATATTGTGAAAAATACAAATTCACACAAGCCTACAAACCCCTCTTTAACAGCCTTTAGATAGTATTTCAAAATTGTCTGATTTATCCAGATTGGAGTACTTGATTCAGTGCCATGTGAAGCTTTAGTGAGTTCCACAATGGGCTTGTCTGGAAGCAGTGGATTT